GCCGCCCCACTTGATCACGTGAGGCCCGGAGTTCTTCCTGGGCGGCGGGCCCAATCTCTCGGTGGGTTCATCCGGCGGTGAGCCAAGGGCGCCGCCTGTCGGTGGCGTGAGGAACAAGTGAGTCCGGTAGCCGTAGCCCTGGTGCTCGTGATCCGCCATCGAGGGGAAGTAGCCGAACTCTTTGCTGCGTCGGATGGGTGCGCGCGTCCCGACGGCCGACTGGCCGGCGCCGCGCACCACGCCGAACCGCGTACCCGTGTACCCCAATGTAGCCGGCCCGTACGTGTTCCCGAGGGTCGTGCGACCCTCCAATCCGCCACCTCCTCCTCCTCCTCCGCCACCACCACCGAGTCCCTTCTCGCCGCCGAAGTTCTTGCGGAACATAAGATTCATGACTGACCGTGAGTGTGCCTAGCTGGACCGTCGACGTGTTCGACGCGTGTCGTGTGTTGTCGTTTAAAAGGGTTGTTCAACCCCCGCGTTATTTCTTTTAGTTCGACAAATCTACAAAGATTCTGTCTGGCTTGCACAGAGCGCCGGTGGTGGTGGTTGCGACGGTGCTCGACGACCACGAAAGCGTCCCTAGCTACCTGCTATTTTTTCTTTCTTTCCCTTATCTTAATTTTCCGTTTCGTTTCCGGTTCGTTTCCGGTTCGTTTCCGGTTCGTTTCGAATCTCCGCGGTCAGCTACGTTTCTCGATCGCGTGCCGGAATCGAGCTTCGTCTGTGGAATCGATGGCCGCACTTGCGATCAGAACTCTGTCGTCACTTGGTCCGCGAGGGAGAGAACAGGGTTGTTGGGGAGAGACGCGTGTTTAGGAGGGAACGATGTATCCTGGCGCGCTCGAGCGAGTTATTCGTTTGTTAGGGGTTCGTTCTGTGCGCGGCAAGGACCTGGCTGCTCTCGGAAGACCCGGAACGATTCGTTTGCCAGCGCGCCAAGTGTCGAAACCGTCTCGAGTCTACGGTTTGCTGGCCTCTTCGAGAGCTAACTCTCGAACGATCATTTAACGAGCGCTTTCGGGCTAACATCTTGCGAACGCCTTTGCCAGCGTCGAGATCGTCGTATACTTCGAAATTTTGAAAGTGCTTTAAAACCAGTTGGTCGTGTCTGGATAGTTCAGAGCGTCGATGAAGCTACAGGGCCTACTCCGAAAACTCTACTTACGCCGATGTTTCGAATTTCCAATTTCTTCGGAAAGCCCCTAGAGTCCCGAAACGTAAGGAGTTACAGACGGATCGTATCAAATTTTAAACCCGTTCGACGCATAAATGCTTTTCTAATTTCCCACAGTGTATACTTATCAAAATTTCGAATCCCGTCGCTCAACTTGCGATGTACTTGCACTGATCCTTTATCCGTTCCAAGTTAATCGATCAACTTTTCTATGACCGCTTTACTTTTCCTTCGATTCGCTGACAAATTACTGTCAGCTCGCGAAGCTAATCGACATCGATCGATCGAAACGACATCGAAACGACATCGAAAACACGATTCAGAATTGAACGGTAGCACGAGGATGATCCGATCGCGCTCGATTTACCCCGCCGCAGGTTTCAAGGTTCGGAATTATAATTGTACCTTGGAAATGACAGTCGCGTGTCACGCGAGCATCGCGAATCTTCGTTTACCTTCCGATACACGCTCGTGTTCGACGTAGTTCTCTATCGCGAAAATCACGACTATTCACGCGAGCGAAGCAAGAATAGAGTCACGAGACTTGACCTTCTCGCCGCGAGGACTGTTTGCGAGACACGACGACACTGACTTTAACCAGGGAGTCTCTCGATTGATCTGCCGTAGCCGCAAGGACTGTCTTGTCACGATAACGTTTGTGGCGCAGCAGGTAAAACGCCAACTGGTCGATCGCGTCCGAATCTATCTCGAAGATCTGCCGACGCACCTGCTGCGTCTTCTGCCATACTCGACAAATGAGCCGTCACGTGCTATTTACTCGTTTATCAGGTTGCCGCGTATCGAATGGACTGTTTTGATATGCAGAAATTCCGACACGATTTCGTAACGGAAACGGTAAAATAACGCTTGGGCTGTGTAACTGATGAATATCCGAGGTTGATGAATATATAATGTGTTTTGTATATTTTGTATGCTTCGTACTTGATTCGTGTGTTTGGCGAATGTAATGCCAGGTGATGCAACTACGTACAGTTCTTGGTACTCGATATAGGGTAGCCAGTTAGTAATTACAACAACAAATTAATCTGCACATTTCAACGAAGATACTTTGCTGCTAAACGAAGAGCGGAAATACTCTCGAGTAGCGATCCACGTCGTGCCTTGATCAACGTAGAAGGCTGACAAATCGGTCATTTCGTCAACGACAACCCAACACTTTGTTACTAAATAATTTTCCACGAAAACAAAGATGTTCCTTTGTGATTTTCCGTCAGTCCGCGAACACGGGTAGTTCGAAAACACGCATTATTCTCACGGATATTTCTAGACAAACGTTTTTGACACCGGCGACTAGCTGTATCGCAGCCAAGCATCAACGCGAAAAGCAAGAATCGTGAACTAGTTCACGACGCGTCTAACCGATATTCGACGTAAACAAGAATTAATGAACACCGTTCAGGAATAGCGTACTTTTTTCTGCAATTTCGCCCGGCAAAATTCGGACAGGCAGTCACTCGACGTCCCGCGTTACGACACTTGGCCTGTCGGTCACATTTGACCCCTGCAAACCGAACCGTGTCTTCCTGCTAAACTATCGACCGGACGCTTCGCTTTCAAAAAATAGAAAAGAAAACCGCGACGTTTCGAAACGGATGACCCTTTCGCTCTCGTTCGTTCGCCGGCGAAAAGTACCGGGTATCATGCACAAATCGACACATGGAAAGCTAACATCAAGCACAATGAACGGTTATGGCGTAGGACGGGCCTGCTCATCAAGTTGCCCTACGAACTTGTTTCGTGAAATTATTAAATCTGATTCGAGTTTAAGAAACCTGTTGTCTTTCTACGTTATAAATTCTTTTAGGACTCGCATGACTAATAATTGAAAATGTGCAATAATTACGGCAACTTGATCATCGAATTATCTGCGAAGAGGTTAATCGCTTCGTCTCGTTACGAAGTCGTATAAAATGATTGCCCTAAAGAGTTGCACGGATCTATAAGAGCGGGAAGAGCCTTGGTTTTGTTCAGTTCTGGCTACGTGACCGAAGTGACTTCGTTGTCGTGCTACTTGCTGTGCAGGCGTATCGTAGTTATACAACAAAGCAGTGCTGTCCACTTTATTGTCCACCTCCGTAAACAAGAAATCATCCGTCGAGACTTTGATAGTCGCCTCTGAACATGAAACGATAGAATCTGCCTACGCGAGACATCCTCCCGGACCGAACGGAAACGTTGTTCACCGGACAGCACTGCATAACAATGTTCGTATTAGTCAGCTGGGACTCTAAAACTACAAAAAAATAGAGCGAAGCGTAAAAATATCCACAGTCTCGAAATCCTAGGTGGTTAATCGACGAATCGAGGATACTCGGTGAAACACAACGATAAATCGAGAGGATTCGACGAGGGAGAAAGAAGTGCTCGGATCCGTCAGTCCGTAAACGGAGGTGTTCGAAAACAAGAGCGGAGTCAAGGTAGACACCGTGAAACAATGTCCCGGCACAATATAACCCCACACGCATAAGAATCCACGGATACGGACAAGAAACAATGCACACACGCACACACAGAAAGCACGGTCTCCTTTGTTTGTCCACGAACACTTTGCAACAACAACAAGTAACGTCACAACGAGCACGGATGCTACCTGCTGATGACTCGAGCGCTGCGTGGCTGCCGGATGCGAGAAAAAGGAGAGAATCGAGGCGAAACGAGATCGAATCGCGCGAGCCACGTGTTCCGTTTGCGCGTTAGATCGATAGAACGTCCCGTTGAAATATTCACGGCCGACTATCTTCGACCCTGGACAACGCGGTTCCTCCTTCGAACCCCTTGGATCGAGCCCGGACACCGATCGAAGCGCGCGCGTACGCGATCAAACACGTGTCCTCGAACGGAGACTCGAGCAGACCGACGCTCAGCTTCGCCACGCGACCGACAGCCTAACACTGAGCGTGCACGAGGCGTCGAGCGTCGCGGCGCTGACCAGACCCCGTTCACGTCGATCGCCCGCCTAACCCTAACGATTCTGGCCAACGACCACCCGACTCTCGCGGAAACGCCACGAATTTTGGCTCGGGACGAGGTCCCTCCGCTTCGGATTCATCATTTTGGGACTCTGATTTAGGGTTGATGTTGATCTCGCTGATATAGCAATCATTTCTTGCATTAGGTACGTGCATTTATCTTCTTTAAAAAGAGGAGTACTCGCAACCTACCAAACCCTTATATCTCTAATCACTGTACCCTTATGTATCTTTCCTTATATTGTAGATACACGATTATTACATAATTAAATTTGCGCGAGAGCAATTGGCATGAAATTAAGAGTCGTCAAACCGAAACAGGAAGATGAGGTGTCAGCATCGCGACGTCTCGTGCTCGCGAATCGGTGCCAAAAACTTTACAAGAACAACGCCGCCCCGATTTTCAATTTCTCTTCGCCGAAAAGATACCATAAATCTACACTAATCGACGTTTTAAAAATCGCTTAGCGAAGTTTTTTCAAGGTAATGCAACGTGGGAGTTACATTACCTAAAATTTCCGCATCCTTCAACTTTGCTGGTATAAACTGGTTCGTTCGTTTAAAAACATTTGACGAAGACGAATATCGACAAAAATCAAGGATGAAGGATTCATGATAGGTCGACGAGACTCATCAATTTCTTTCGCGTGTCGAAAAATAAAATTCTCGGGTAAATTCCATAAAATTTACAATACTTCGATCTTTATTTTCAATGCGGTTTTCATGGCGTTTTGTATTCAATTAGATGTGAAAGAAATTAGGTGTGATTAGGAGTGAATGGTCCTCGAATACGAGAACATCGATTAACGTAAGATAAATAATCTGAAGGTGTGACGAGCAAGAGCAACCTTTTAAACACAATTCTTTTGGAGAGCAGCCAAATTGATAAATCGAGCAACCGCGAATATTATTAGAATTGCCTTTTTCGCCAGCCGTGAAAAAGCTCAAGGGCGTTATTGCAAAATTTCTTTGTCACCGGAAGTTATGAAGTAGCCATTGAATCACGCGAACCAGTAATCGTTTCCTTTCTTACGCGATTACAGATTCGAAGAAAGAAAACGTAAGATTCACGAGGCCGGTAACAAAAGCTACTCGTACCATCCATTCTATTTTACGAGCATAAAAACGCGTGAACAGATTCTACTGGAAATTAATTACCGTTTCGCGGGAAATTAATTCTTTCTTTTATCGCGAAGAACTTACCGGATAAGGCGAGTCGATGAATCGTGGGAAATACAACGGTACTTTCTGTTCCGAGGAACTTTCGAAAGAATGCAAATTTGTTTAGGGATGTGCGATGCACTTAAAACGAGGCTTCGTTAAAAGTGCTCGCGATGTTCACTCGAAACTTGCTATTTTAAAAGTTTCTTTCGACGTGAAAAGTTTTCTATTTACCGATTAACCACGATCAACTTTGCGATCTTTATATGCGCATTACCTGAATTTCAGAAAATTAACTTGTGAATTGGTTATGGAAAGAAAGAAACAGTCTTGAGAGTTCTTACAAAGTAATGTTGCAACGGAAGATTCAACGACAAATACTTGTTTGCTCGTTCCCTCTGTTGAACAGAAAATCCATTGAGAAAAAGAAACAAACGGCGCGATATGGAAAATAAAAGCAAAGAGGAATATGAAAGAAACGCCTGAAGGAGTGGGAAGATCAACAAGTGTTCCATACAAACCGAATCGTCAAACCGTGAACGACATTAAAACCATCTGCATCGAATGACGGAATCTATAGCTCGCGAAGCATCGTGGATAATTTGCATCAATTTATAACGTTTATTTAAGTACTCGAAAGGTTAGAGCGACACGAATTCAGAGTTAAAATTACTTTCCCTGTTTTTCGAAAGAACGCGAAAAGCACGTAAATATTCGAAAAGTTAAATATTTGGAGCATCGGTTTTCGACGAGCGCCGTTAACATGAAGATTTCAAGGATGAAAAATATCGCGAGATTTATGACGACGGACCGTCACCATAATTCACGATATCAGCACCGCGAAAGAACACGTGGGTCTCGCCAAATATCCTGCCAGAAAATTTTCACCGATCTCTGTTCACGGGTCAGCTAACCGCCAGAGCGAGAGAAACGATCGGTTTCAGTTTGGAGATCGTTAACTTGGCAAACTACCTACTTTTAGAGACGAGATACGATTGCGATGCATACGCGGTTAGTGACTTTACATGTACAGTCGCATGAATTATTCAAGGGTCTAAACGTATCTTTCAAAATTCCGATTGCTAAATTATCAAATTCTCGACTTTTCCAAATTTCTAAATTTCTTATGGTTTTAACTACCTGCACCCTGTACATTCACAGATGCTGGAAATTTAAAACTCTGAAATTTCTGAAAACCCAAATTCCCAATCTAACTTCCCAAATCCCAAAATCTGTTCCTCGAATTCGTCCCATCTACTTCTCGCAAACATTAAAATGCGAAAGAAGTTTTAATTTACAAAATTCCATGCCAAGAAGGTTTTCATAAGCGATTCGTTAGAGTACTCGTTAATTTTCATGTCCAGTCCTCACAGCCGGCGAAGAATGAGAAATGAAAGACAGAAACAGAGAAAGGAGGAATTGTAAAGGAGGAGGGAAGAAAAATTTGGCGGTGGTTAGTATTTGATTAGTTCCATTCAGCATCGGTGGAGCATCTTTCTCGGCGGAGAAGTGAGTGATCGCGCTACTACTTGTCTGACCACTGGCGTATTCCACTGCGCGCTCCTAACGAGCGACCGAGCTTCCTCGCAATTAGCACATATTTATAATTATATGCACGCTTCTCTATAATTGGCACATTCAACGGCCTTCTACCTCTCGAGTTTCGTTCCTTTTTGCAACGAAGCTTCTTCCGTTATCTTGCTCGACCCTTTAAAAAACTTGGAATTTACGATCCGGAAGTTTTGATCGCTTTCAAAGTAGCCAACTTTCTCGACTTTTAAAGCGTTAACTGACTGTATTTAAATAATTCGAATCCTTTTTTTAGTTTAAGATATATCGAGACGCGAAAGAATGAGTCATTTTATAAAAAATAATTTGTCATTTTTTTTCTCTCGTTTGTAAAATAAAATATCGTCTGGTGAACAACAAACGTATTCTTGGCATTCGTTTAGCGGACTAAAGTTAACGCGCGTATCGTCGCGCTGGCCGAACGACAAAAACTATGAATACTTCAAGGTGTTCGGGTCGTGGGAGAACCACGGTAAAATTTACGAGGAAAATCAGCGAATCGTCGATATCGCATTGTCACGGCGATCGATCGCCAACCTTGATCTACGAGCTTATCAGAACGACCCTTGGTAATCTTCTTAATGGAGGGTGCTCTATATTTCCTTAACTATCAGCCATGTGACCGTTTCGTTTCGGGAAATACAGATAAGCAAATATAGACGGAGGCTGCGCTCTCATTCTGCTACCAAAAGTTTATGGAAATTTATTTTTTACTAACTGTTCAAGATAATACTATTGTATACTGTTCAAGATTATGCTAATTGAATATAAAATTGTAAAGTTCGCAAGTATTTAGGTCCCTCTGTTTCTTCGAATTTAAAGCGTTCTTATAGTCGGAAGAACTTTTACCAAGGCACAAAAGTAGAACGAGGGTTAAACTTGAACTCGTAGTTCAAGTGCGGTGTTCTACGTTTATCGCTGACTGATTCTGTCACGTGAGGTCTCGTTAACGAGCTCGAAAGAACCTTCGTTACAATCTTTTATTTTCCATTTCGTTTCATTTTATCTGTGCTGCTAAAACAGTCTGTGCCTTATCAAACTCGAAAAAAATGTAAAACCAGTTAATTAATTTCAGACCTTTTAGAAACTAGTCACAATTTTCTAACCCCTTAACGTATGCGAGTGTTTATGAATTCATTGATCAAAGGTGAAATGTATGAATATTATCATTTTTTCAGGATTTAAGAACCTTCAGACCTAACCTAACCTCAAAGTAATCCCTGAAGGGGTAAAATAAATTTCTCCCTCAAGGTTTTATCTACAAAAATGATAATGTTTATCGCAGTAAGGCTAAAAATATCCTTGAGTTCGGTTTGGTAGTGAAAGGCTGCACGAAACAAAAGATTATTGCGATTCCCGGTACCACGTGGCATTGAATGAAGGAATTAACGAGCCAAAGGTGCGGATATAACAGGCGAACGTGATCATCGACGATGCATTGTCGCGAAATCTCCATGAAGTTCAAGTATTCGCCATGTCGATCCACGCAACGAGCCAAGCCAGTTTTGCATTCGCGACGGCGTACTGCGAATACGTTTGCTGTATGGCAAAATATAGATTCGCATTCTCGGACAGCTAACTCGCGTAGCACGCGCCGTTCGAATGAACGCGTACACACGAAAAACCGGCTCGTGCTTCGAATGCTTCTTCCCGCAATTTTTAACACCTTCATAATTACTCTCTTATCCTCGAATAATTTCCACTTGCATTTTCATTTAAAATTCGTTAAAACATATAACTTTTGCGTACAAACTTATTTATGACTGTTCGTGCAATAAATTTCATCCATAAATTTTCAGTTATAGCTTTTTAGATATTTAGATGTTTGCAGATATTTCTATGTATAAATTTAATATTTTGTTGCGCGTGTATTTTCATTCATAAAACAGATTTGTTTTACGACGGAATAAAAGTCGAATCGATTTGCATGGACAGAAATATAAATAATTGTCACGACTAGTTTCTCCACTTTTTGCAGACCAGTGAAGTAAGCTGGTGTTTAAATAGCGCGTTTAACGTTGAACTTCTTGTCCGAGCTTTAGATGTAAGGTAGTTTAAAAGAAGCGGACGACGAGGAAAACTCGATTTATTTTCATGAGACGAGCGCGTAGGTAAAGGCCAACGAATCGATATTATAGCCAGAACAACTTGTGAAAATGGCTTGCATGAAATCTGCATCCGTACGTGCTACGCACAGATGTTCGATAATTTAACTTAATTTAATTGGAATTCATTTTGTCGGTATT